CGAGAGAGGGAGTAACTGTAGACACCTCAAAGATAGATGTCGTGCAAGATTGGGGGCATCCCAAAAATGTTTTTGAGATCCGGAGTTTCTTGGGATTAGCGGGGTATTATCGACGCTTTGTAAGGGACTTCTCTAGACTAGCCGCGCCTTTGACTAGGTTGACTAGAAAGGGTGTCAGATTTGTGTGGAGTGAGGCTTGTGAAAGGTCATTCCAAGAACTTAAGACTAGATTGACTACCGTACGGGTCTTGATAATTTTGAAAAGAGGTTTGGGTTACACCGTTTATTGCGATGCGTCTCAGGATGGGCTTGGTTGTGTTTTAATGCAAAGGTGAAAGGTTGTGGCCTATGATTCACGACAATTAAAAACCCATGAAAAGAACTACCCCACTCATGATTTGGAATTAGCGACGGTGATTTTTGCCTTGAAAAATTTGAGACATTATCTGTATAGCAAGAAGTTTGAGGTTTTCTCTTATCATAAGAGTCTAAAGTATTTGTTTTCTCAAAAAGACTTGAATTTACGCCAACGGTGGTGGATGGAATTTATGGAGGATTATGACTTTGAGATGCACATCATCCGAGAAAGGCCAATGTAGTGGCCAATGCTTTGAGTCGGAAATCTGTGTGCAGTTTGACAAGTGCGGCCATTCAGGAATGGGTTATGCTAGGTGATACTGGCAAGTTTGATTTGCACTTGGGTGAGTCAGGTGAGAGTGCAACCTTATTTACCTTGAGTGCTCAACCAACCTTGATTAGTAAGGTCATAGAGGCACAACAGAGAGACCGTGAAGTGGAGTCAATCCATAATAGAATTTTCAACGGGAAGGAAGAGAGGGGTTTGAACATTCACTCGGATCTGAGTGTACGTTATCTAGATCGTTTGTTTATACTAGAACCATGTAGAGAGGAAGTACTTCGAGAGTTCCATCATTCACGTCTTGCGGTATATCTAGGAGGCACCAAAATATATCATGATCTTAGTTGTCAGTTTTGGTGGAGGGTTATGAAGCGAGATGTTACTTTATTTGTATCGAAGTGCCTTACTTGTCAACAAGTGAAGGCCAAACATCAAAGACCAGCGGGTTTGCTACAACCTTTACCGATAGCTAAGTGGAAATGGGAGCATGTTACCATGGATTTTGTAGTTGGCCTTCCTAGAACACAGTGAGGCAATGATGCCGTTTGGGTGATTATTGATAGGTTGACTAAGTCTACGCATTTCATTTTGATGCGCACCAGCGACTCAGTAGAGTATTTGGCAAAGTTGTACATTAGAGAGATAGTTTGACTTCATGGAGTCCTTGTAACCATTGTATCGGATAGAGGTCCTTGTTTTACTACCCGGTTGTGGCAAAGCCTTCAAGAGGTGTTGGGAACTAAGTTGACCTTTAGCACCGCTTACCACCCTCAAACCGATACGTAGCCGGAACATACCATTCAGATTTTGGGGGACATGCTTAGAGCATGTGTCCTTGATTTCAAGGGGTCTTGGGAGAGACACTTACCATTGATTGAGTTTGCCTACAACAATAGTTACCAAGCTAGTATCGAGATGGCACCATTTAAGGCCTAGTAATATTCCCTTGTGTTTGAGAGAAATGTGTTAAAATTGTTAATTACATGTTGTTATGTATATTGTTGTTTTAAGCATGAGGTTGTTGTGGGTTGTTACTACTTTTATCGGAAAGCTTCATGCTCATGCTTATCTTGAACGGTTGTTGTTAATGGGGTAGTCATGATGATGATGGTAAATTTTGGCTAAAAGCTAATATTGTGAATTGGAAATGTAATAGCGTGGTTTTGAAACCCCTTTGTTTGGGTAGTTTTATTTAATTTTGAGGACGAAATTTCCTATGGTGGGGAGGTTGTGATGACCGGGTACGTTATTTGTCTCGTTCCTTTTCGTTTAACCTTGGGTTTGCCTTTATTAGAGTATCGGGTTTAACCAGGAGCCTTGTTAACGGTATGGGTTTGTTGTATTTGGAAGTTTGTTTCAAAGTCCTTACTTTTATTTATTTTTGTGTCAAGTTTCTCATGTTTCGGAAGGTGCGAGGTTGAGTCCAGAGTATCCGGTGCTGAGCTGGAAAATTTTCCTAGCTGGAGGACAAAGCCGCACGTGCGAGGCCTTGGGCCGGACGTGTGGAAAGGGGACTGCATATGCGGGAGGTGAGGCCGCACGTGCGGAAAACAAGGGAGTCCTTGTAGAGACCCTAATGTTTGGTAACTACACTTGAAACCCTAAGCCTTAGATTAATAGCATTTTAGCCCCTAGTTCCATAAAAGTTTGTATAATGGCCCAATAAAGAATAATTTTAAATCCTAGAACACCACTTTATAATTAGAAATACCATAACACTTGGCTTTTATTTATTTTATCTCCTAGTTTCTAAATTAATTTATACATTCTATTTTTTTTTAACCTAGTTGGAAATTTACTAATTCTTTGAATCCTTATTATTTATTTGAGAAAATAAATAGCTATAAATATATTTTTTTTAAAAAAGTTTTATTATTTATTTTAATTTTTAGTTGAGCAAATTAGTGGGAAAAAAAATCTAGATATTTATAAGTTGCTTAGGCATTAAGTTAGAAGCGTAGAATGGTCCTTTTAACCCAATTCATGGCCTATAAAATTGAGAAGCATTGTCTCAATTCCTCTCTCACGTTTTTAGCAGCTCAGGGAGAGGGTGAGAGAGGGAGAGTGTGATCAAGGGAAGTAAGAAGGAAAAAAAAAAGAGAACAAGAAGGAAAAGTGATTCAAGAAGGTAAGAACACCTCTTCCTCTTGTCTTCTCCAATTCTTTCACCTTCTCATCCTATTGTTTAGATGCCCTCTTGTGTTGCATAGCATTTGGTGTGTATAAAAGTGTGGGTTTGAGTTAGTGACATTGTCTTGCAAATCTGACAAATTAGGCACTGCTGTAATTTCTCAAATTTAAAAGAATTATCAAATTTACTTATTTCTCAAATCTGAATTTAGTGTAGGCTATTTGGTGTGTTTAGAGCTTGTGATAATTTTATTAGCCCCTAATTATGTGTTTTTAGGGCTTGGATATTTTGTTTAAAAATCTGGTCCTGAGTCTCTGAAAATAGTCCACTTCTTGCAATTGTATAAAATTCCAGAAAAATCATCTCAGGTTGGTTCTTCTATTCAAATTTAGGATTTTGAGTCCTCTTTTCAATGGAATTTATTTGGGTGAAAATCATTGGGTAGATTGAGAGGAAAGCTAGTTTTTCCAAAGGGTGACAAATCTGGACAGGTTTTCGAATATAGCTTGTAGATGAATTTCTGGAGGTACTATGCAAATTCTGAGAGTTGGAATTGAAACTAGACAAGTTAATTATTATTTCTGTGCAATTTCAGCCCCCAATTTGAGCTACAAGTATTTTTCCCAAAGCACTCTTGTTAGCCCTGTAGAACCGAACAGTGCTGGAAATGGTGTTTTATTGTGTTGTTTGTCTCTAAGTATTTCAAAGCATGCCTAATGTTATTTGCTTGCTTTACCATAACTATGTATGACTATCATGGACTATATTTCCTTTCTTATGTTTGTCTCATGCTCTTTTATATTACCGAATTACCAAATGTAACTAACTTGCTTGGCAAAAGATCTAATAAATGGAAAATGGAAAGGGGTTGGTAATGGGTGACATTCACCTTTGTGATTCAGAATGATTTATGTAATATACATGTGAATGAGATTAAAACCAAATGAGTTAAGTCTTGTGCAAGTAGTCTAAGCGATCCCCTAGGTTGACACAGATGTATTCAGACTCTATGAGGTGGTTTCAGGATGTAAGCGAGCACTTTGGTATGGTATATGCAGGGCGTAAGCAAGCCCTAGGCACGATTTGGTATGGTATGTGCAGGGTGTAAGTGAGCCCCAGGCACAATTTGGGTGTAAGCGAGCCCATTTGTTTGGTCGTCCATTTTGAGGTCCATCAATGCCACTCACAGGTAAATAATCGGAAGGTGGGCATAGGTGGTAAGGTCTGTAAAGCAGCAAAAGGGGGAGTTCTGAATAGTCCAGTGTTCAATCCTTGTGGTTGAGTAGAAGGATCTCTTTGGGGGGATTCTAGGTGTCTAGTCTAACTACTAATTCATAGGTCCTTGTTGGAAGATTATATGTCATGTTACCTGATTTGTTTTGTGTATGGTTGATTGATTGATAGAAGATATGGAGGTGTGTGTGTTTTTACTGGGCATTCCAAGCTCATGGCGTGTCATGCCAAGTGAGGAAGCAGTTTACAATGGTGAATGTTATCCCGTAGGCAACCAAGATGAAATGTTGGAGCCGTGGTTCACTTGAAGACTTAGACTAGTAGTTTTTTTTTTACTTTGACTTTTGGCATGTCAGTGTTTGTAATCCTATTGCGGAACACAAATGAATTAACTATGGTCTTAACTTTGCTTATATGTGTATATTAAGATGTTTGAGTTGTATTATGTAATTATGTATTATGTAATTTGTTTGAGTTGTATTATGTAATTTTTTTTTTTTTTTTTTGGTCATGAATTTTGGGGCGTTACAAGTTGGTATCAAAGCCATACGTTCAACCCTTAACCCACGCGTATCGAGTTGTGATTTGAGATATCCTTGTCTCCTATGTTATTATATTCTATTAACATTATACTATATCATATTAAAGGTGGACTAAAAAAAAAAATTTTTTTTTACCGACCATAGGTTGGATTCTACGTCAAAAAGCATTGATGACTGGGGAGTTTTTCGTTTCCAGAATAGACGGGCAGTAGCTATCAGTCGACAAAGACTTAACCGACTATGTCAATTAAGAGTGGAGCACGTGATAAAGAAAGCTATTTGGAAAATAGAGGAGGACTTTTCATATTACACCACGCAAGCAAGACGAGCGTTGGTACACCGACGCCTCCAGTGCAAATACCGGGAGCTTAGGTTCACTCTACAGATAGAGCGGAATGGTCAGACTTTTGTCGGGCTTAGGCAAGAGGTATTGGCTGAGGATCCGCATCCGGTGATGCGTCGCGTTGGACCCGAGAGTCGTGGCTCTCATCATCCTGAGTTAAAGGTTCCTTTTGTCTCAATACTTCTCGGAGCTTCCCCTGCTTTCCCTATAGAGGTGTCATTAGAGTACTCCCCTACACCAGCTCAGCAGTTTCCAGCCTCCCTGGCATATGCTCCTTTACCACCTGAGGACCCGAACGAGGATCCCGACGAAGATCCCGAAGAAGACCCAAAGGAATCGTTTGACTTAGGGCTGTAATAGTTGTGGGACAAATCTTTTTGTGTACTTTTGTAAATAGTGTTTTGTGTGGTTGAAGCGTGTTTTGTTTTGGTGTATACACGCAACACGCTAACCTAGATAGTGTAACCTATTGTAAGAAGTTGTTATATACGTATATATAAAATATCTAGTTGGTTATTCTAGTGTATTGTATGTTATTTTATTTTATTTTGCTTGCGTTAATTGCATTGTCCATTTAAAAAAAAAAATTACACCTCAGACCACATTAAATTAGCCTATTTATTGAACACCTCTTCGCCTTCACAACAACCCTAAGCTTATATTACCCACAAACTTGGCAGATGATGGACAATGTGGAAGCAAACGATCAAGTAAGACGCTGATGCGGTCGTCCAGCTCGCAATCAAGGCGTTAATCGCAGTGGACCTATACCTGTTGAGGAGTTACCAAGACCAGTCGAAAACCAGATTCTTGAAGAGTTAGGAAGGCTTAGAAGAACGCAACCAAACGAGTGGATATATTTGTTATCTGAGTTTAGAAAGCAAAGACTGCCGGTGTTCACAGTTGAGCCTGACCCGAGAGTCGCTGTGAGCTGGATTCGTCAAATAGAAAAGATGTTGGAAACCATGGGTATTACTGTGCATACAGACAAGATCACCCTGGCAAGTTACCAGCTAGAAGGAGAAGCGGATCATTGGTGGTCCTTGATGAAAAATTCTCGGGACACGACAAGCATGACTTGGGCTCAGTTCAAAGAATTGTTTCTAAGAAAATATTTCCCAAATACAGTTAGACAGGAGTGAATTTGGCAATTTCAAACTTTGAAACAGGGTGAGGTGACAGTGACTCAGTATGTGGCCAAGTTTGAAGAGCTGGCTCGATACACAGCCTGATACATCACAGATGAGGAAGAGAGAGCACGAAAATTTGAGTGGGGTTTAGACCCTATTATCAGAGGTAAAGTGTTACCCTTGCGCCTTCCTACGTTTGCTGATGTAGTGGATACGACATTGGATGCAGAAAGGGAGTAGGCAGACTCAAAAAGGACTTTGATGATGAAAACGAAGAAATGGGGTCAGTCCTTTGTAGGACCAAGAAGAAATGACCGAATGAATGCGGTACAGACACCATACACCAGACCGTCGCAACAGCCGCAACAACAAAGTCAGAAAGGAAGTTTACAAACCAAGCCTATTACACAAATCCAATGCTTTCACTGTCATCAGATAGGGCACAAGAAGTCGGAATGTCCCTAACTTTCTGGGATAGGAAATCAAGCAGGGGTTTCAGGCCCGAATGCTCAAGTTATTGGCAGACAAAGGCCATGGACGAACAAGTCAGGAGGGGCAACAGGAGAAAACCGAAAGGTTGGACCAACTGGTAATCAAAAAGCCACAGGCAGAGTTTTTGCTCTTCAAGAGAAAGATGATGAAGATCCATTAGTAATTAGAGGTAACATTGTACTCTATAATTCTTGGGTTCACGTTCTATTCGATTATGGCGCATCATATTCTTTTATATCAACATCGTGTGTTAAATCATTAGGTCTTGAATGTGATCCTTTAGAAACTATTTTATGTGTTGCATCACCCTTGGGAGGAAATATTAGGGTAAGATTAATCTGTCGAGGGTGTGAATTAGAAGTGTCAGGGTTACACTTGAGTTGCAACCTTCGGGTCATGAACATGTCCGATTTTGACATAATCTTGGGTATGGATTGGTTATTCGCCCACCGAACAGTGATTGATTGCTACCACAAGAGGGTGACGGTTTGCACACCTAGTGGAACGTGTTTCCAATTTAAGAGGGATAGAGAGGATTCCCTGAGCACGACAAATCGTAAAATGCAGTGGCATCAACAATTTGCTAGATGGTTAGCAAGTTTGATCATTAATGAAGAAGTCCAATCAGAATTAAATCTTCCGCGTGTAGTTTGTGAATACACTGATGTTTTTCCTGAGGAATTGCCAGGATTACCGCCACATCGTGATGTAGATTTTAGTATTGAGTTACAAGCGGGTACTGCACCAATATCCCTGACGCTCCACCGTATGGCTCCTGCCGAACTTCAGGAATTAAAGACGCAACTGCAAGAATTACTGGAAAAGGGATTTATCCGACCAAGTACCTCACCGTGGGGAGCACCAGTTCTATTTGCAAAGAAAAAGGACGGAACACTAAGATTATGCATAGATTATCGACAACTCAATCGGGATGATGATCAAGAACCGATATCCACTTCCACGGATTGATGACCTATTTGACCAACGTCGAGGTTAAAAGTGCTATTCAAAGATTGATCTTAGATCTGGCTATCACCAATTGCGGGTCGCGGATGATGATATACCAAAAACTGCTTTCCGAACCCGATATGGCCATTACGAATTTGTGGTAATGCCTTTTGGATTAACCAACGCACCAGCCGTGTTCATGAGCTTGATGAATAAGATTTTTACTCCGTACTTGGACCAATTCGTGGTGGTGTTTATTGATGACATTCTAGTCTATTCATCGTCTGAAGAAGAACACAAGCAACACTTGAGAGTGGTTCTCCAGGTTTTAAGAGACAACCAGCTGTACGCAAAAGCAAGTAAATGTGAGTTCTGGTTGAAGGAAGTCAAATTTTTGGGACACGTTGTGTCTGAGCACGGGATTGCAGTAGACCCGGCCAAGGTAGAAGCAGTATTAGATTGGAAGCAGCCAACCTCAATATTTGAAGTTCGCAGTTTCTTACGGTTGGCCGGCTATTACCGACGGTTATTCAAGACTTTTCCAAACTGGCCAAGCTGATGACTCATCTAACACAAAAAGGGGTAAAATACGATTGGAACGAAGCATGTGAACAATCCTTTCAAGAACTCAAGAGAAGATTGACTAGTGCCCCAATACTCATCATTCCGGAGCGAGACGTAGGATATACAGTATATTGTGACGCGTCTAAGGATGGGCTAGGCTGTGTGTTAATGCAAAAAGGGAAAGTGGTGGCTTACGGCTTGAGGCAACTGAAACCGCATGAAAGGAATTATCCGACACACGATCTAAAGTTGGCAGCAATGGTTTTTGCGTTAAAGCAATGGTGTTATTATTTGTATGGTGAACAATTTGAGATTTTCACGAACCAGAAGAGCTTGAAGTATTTGTTCACGCAGAAGGACTTGAACATGAGACAAAGACAGTGGCTAGAATAACTTGAAGATTACCATTTTACTCTATCCTACAATCCTGGCAAAGCTAACGTGGTGGCGGATGCCTCGAGTCGCAAGAACCGGGGAATTATTGCTAGTTTGGCACTCAAGGAATGGAACATGGTCGGAACACTTAATGAGTTCAGAGTACAGATGAAAGCTCAGGATGAGAAGGTATACCTTTGCGCTCAAATCGCTACACCCAAATTACTGAATGAGGTAATAGAGTCACAGAAGTATGAAAGCGCGAATAGCATCCGGTGATCTTATACCTGATTAGATGGTTCACTCAGATGGAAGTTTGAGACATCAGGGCAGAGTGTTTGTACCATAAGATGAGTAGCTTAGAGAAAAACTCCTGAAAGAGTTCCATCATTCAGTGTTCGCAGTGCACCCAGGAGGGACAAAAATGTACCAAGACTTAAAACGCCAATACTGGTGGAATGGAATAAAGAAAGATGTGGCTCAATTCGTAGCCAGATGCCTTACATGTCCACAAGTAAAGGCAGAACACCAACGACCTAGAGGGATGCTTCAGCCCTTGCTGATATCAGAATGGAAATGGGAGCATGTAACAATGGACTTCGTCACTGGACTATCCAGGTCACCTAGAGGACATGATGCTATATGGGTTATAGTTGATCGTTTGACGAAAACTGCACACTTTTTGCCATATAAACTCTCAGACACTTTGACATCACTAAGTCATCTCTACATTAAAGAAATTATCCGATTACATGGAATTCCTGTATCAATTGTGTCCGACCGGGACCCGCGTTTCACCTCCCGATTCTGGGAAAGTTTACAGGAAGCGTTAGGGACCGAATTATGTTTCAGTACCGCATTTCATCCTCAAATTGACAGATAGTCGGAACGTACAATTCAGACTTTAGAAGTCATGTTAAGAGCTTGTGTGATGGATTTCAAGGGGAATTGGGAGCAACACATACCGTTGGTAGAGTTCATAAACAACAATAGTTTCCAAGCTAGCATTGGCATGGCTCCATTCGAAGCACTGTATGGTCGGCCTTGCAAATCACTAGTTTGTTGGACTGAAGTCAAAGAAGCGAGTCTATTGGGCCCATAAATCGTGCAAGACTCTACAGAAAAGGTGAAACTTATTCGACAAAGATTAGTGGCAGCTCAAGATCGTTATGCAGATAAGAGGAGAAGAGCTCTAACTTTTGCTGTCGGTGATTATGTTTTCTTGAAAATTCAGCCCCGCCGAGGGATCATCCGTTTCGGAAAAGAAAGGAAAATTATCACCTCGATATATCGGACCTTTCGAGATACTTCAAAAAATTGGAGAGGTTGCGTACAAATTGGCTTTACCCCCCACAGTTGGCTGGAGTACATAATGTTTTCCATGTATCTATGTTGCGGAAGTATATAATGCACCCTTCTTACATCATCAATTGGGAAGAAATCCAACTCAACGAAAACGCTACCTTTGAGGAGGGGGCAGTAGCAATTATCGACAGACAAAAAAAGAACTTGCGAGGAAAGACAATTCAACTTCTTAAGATACTTTGGCGTAACCACGGTATTGAAGAGTTCACTTGGGAACGTGAAGACGCGATGCGAGCAAATTATCCACAATTATTTGAGACGTGAGGTATGATTTAATTTCGAGGATGAAATTTATTTAAGGGGGATAGGTTGTAGAGACCCTAATGTTTGGTAACTACACTTGAAACCCTAAGCCTTAGGTTAATAGCATTTTAGTCCCTAGTTCCATAAAAGTCTACATAATGGCCCAATAAAGAATAATTTTAAATCCTAGAACACCACTTTATAATTAGAAATATCCTAACACTTGGCTTTTATTTATTTTATCTCCTAGTTTCTAAATTAATTCATACATTCTATTTTTTTTTTTTAGCCTAGTTGCAAATTTACTAATTCTTCGAATCCTAGCATTTCAGAATCAACATTTCAATCATAGTAATTTACAAATTTTATCTATTATAATAAGAATTAGATTGATTAATTACAAAACTGTCACTAATCAAAAATCACAAACTATCACAGGGCCTTTTACCTAGGGATTGCGTAGTACTAATTTGTGGTGCAAGTTTATAGATTCCACTCCTATAAAGGGAAATTTGATATTCTTGGTGTATTTATTTATTATCTATTATGAGATTATGTGTAATTATTCCTGCCAAATTTGGCCTAATAGTGGCTGTTGGGCTTGATGACTACGGGCTTTCTAGTTATTATTAGATTTTAATTGTTCAATTTAATATGATATTTTTCATATTTATAATTATTCTCGTATTTAATGAAAATAAAAAAAAAAAAAAAAAAAAAAAACTAAACAAAAACTCCACAATCCCTCTTAACCAAAGTCAACTTGGATTACATAACCAAAACATTTTAAACTTTATATAGTCAAGGTCAGTACAATTTTTTTACTTTTATTTTTATTAATCAATAAGAGATTAATTACAAATATAATATATCAAATTGGATAATTATAATCCAACAATGCATATTTACATATCTAATAACTACAACAAAAAATATCTCAATACAATCCTTATAATGAAAGAGAAATAATCAGCATTTTCCTTCATCTAAGATTCACCCCTTGATCTCCAAGATAGGAGTGTACATAAGTAGCCAATGCATTCAATACAAATTTGACCACTATAAAATCTCATAACTATGCACCACATCATTCATAAATAAAATCACAAATTTTCGTTTGGAAAGAACTTTTTTAACTTGACTTTTTAACTGTTTTAGTCTGACTAAAAAGGTTTTGTTTGGGATGAACTTTTGATTTTTTTGTAGTTTTGTGAGAAAAAAAGTGAAATGATTATGATTTGAATGTGATATTTTATCTTATAGACTTTTTAATCTATGTTGTCTTTTAATAGACTAAGGGTTGGTTTGGGGTGTCCTAAAAAAGTGCACTTTTTATCTTTTTACGAAAAGATGTGCAGAAAAGTAGAGAGGTGATGTGATGGAAAAAAGATAAAAAGATGGATTATATAGGTTATGCCAAACGAGGCCTAAATTAGCTCCAGCCATCTTACCAAACGAAGGCTAATCTCATGAATTTACAACGGAGTTTCATAATTTTTTTTATTTTTTTATTTTAATTCCACTTGTAATGAAGGAGGTTATTTAGTTAGAGGAGGATAAAAGATGAGACAAGATTTCAAGAATTATTTTTTTAATACCATTAGAGGGCGGAGGGAATATTAATCCTTGGTACTGGGCCGACCCAGGGCCATGAATTTTGACTGGCCAGTGGCCCAAGCTCGGGCCTGGTCATCCTTTATTTCTATAGCTCACGCCTTAACTACTGGCTTAAAATAAAATAAATTGTTTGGATAAATTATACAGGTAGTCTTTGCATTTTATTCCTTGTTTTATTTTTATTCTCAACCTTTTTATTGACTTGATTTTGACTCTTAATTTTAAATTTTGTGTCAAGTTAGTTCAATTGACAAGGCCGATTAAGAATTTTGACAAAAATGATCAATAACTTGGAGTTGAAATTAACTCACTTAACTGAGCAAATTTATTTGCCCCAAAAAGCATTGCGCATGTGCTCATTTTCTATTTAAAAAAGAGTTAATGGTAGTAATCGATTAGACCACACTATAAAATCATAAATTTATAATTAAAATTAAATTAATTAAAATTATAAAGATTAAAATGACAGAAGAGCTAAAGTATAAGGATGAGTAGTGTAATTTGTCCTAATTATTTGTATATTTGGTGTAATTTCTATTTATGATGTAATAATAATTTAAATAAATAATAAAAAAAATTATTGTCGAGAAGTTAGAAAATTAATACTTTTAACTTTTATTTTTTTTATTATTAATTTTCAATTAAGTCACACAAAACAAAAGCATCTGTAAAATTCTTGAGATCAACAATGTAGGATAGTGAAATCTCCGAGTTTTAAGTGAGATCAATAGCTAATATTAAATCAATAATTATGTTAAAATGGCATTTGTACTAATAAAACATTATTATAGTTGTCTGTTTGGTTTTATTTTTTAAAAATTGTTTTTAATGAGTTTTCTTTTATTTTTTAAAGAAAA